GGCGGCCAGGTGCCTCTTGGGGCCCCCCTGGGCGCAGTGTGCGGAACCCGAGGCTGGAGTTGGGGGTGGGGGGGTTACCGGGAAGGTGCTCGGTACCCTGGGCTTGCACGTGGAGGTGGAGTGCAGACGCTCCCCAAAGCCGGGAAGGTCGAAGGTACGGGGTGAGAGGCCGGAAGGGGCGTGAGTGATGGGCACCTGGAGGCTGCCGCCTTCCTGGAAGCGTCTCTAGGGTTTTGGGGGCAAACCGGACTCGCCAGTGGAGGGAGAGTGGGAATGCGCCCTGGGCTTGGAGAGGATGAAAGAGCCGAGGGAGTGGGGTGAGAGGTGGTCCCCGGGAGGCTGCTGCCCTCCTGGGGGTGGCGGGCAGGGCCACAGGGAGCGGGGGAGGGGGAGCATGAACGAGCCGGATCTTGCACGGCGAAGAAGGAATGCCTTCACCGGCACACACTCCTCGAATTGGGGAGGTTGGAGGAGGTGCGGAAAGGCGAGAGGTGACGCCGGGCTGCAACCTTGTGGGAGGTGGCGGATGTTGGAACTCGGGCGGAAAGCGGCATCTTTGCAGCCAAACAGGTTGTAGACGCCCGAGCCTTTCTCTACCCGCCGTCCCAATCCGAAGCAAGGCTGTGGTTCTCTCCAAAGTCCCCCTGCCAGGCTTGATTCTTTTTTCTTTCTTCTTTTCGCATTTGAAAGGTTTTGCCTCCCACTCGAGAGAAATCAAAGGATGTGCCGGATTTCCAATAAATAGCACCTTTGGATGTAGAAGAGGAATGGCTCCCTCACCCTGCTACGCACACCCCCACGCCACCCCACAGCTCTGACACGGCTTTTCTTCGGCAGCCGCACACTGTTACCATTCCCGGCTTGTGTGGGAGAAGACTGTTGTGCGCCTGTGTCTGTCCGCCTGGGCAGCTCCAGCCCCTGGTTAATAAAAAAGGTACAGATGGTTAAGACACGAATGTGTGACGTCAGGCTCGGTTTTTAAAAGTCCCTTGTTCCCTACATCGTTTGTGTCTCCTGAGACAGACTATTCAGAGGATCGATTTGAGTCTAATGGCAGTCATGAGAACGAGGGACCCATGCCAGGACTGTCAGTATATCGCAATGCTGTACTTATAACAAAAAAGTTTATCTTTTAACATTTTTTAACACATAAAAAAATGAAACTATCAGAGTGCAAAATGATTCTATCGAAACAATTTCTTATCTAAAATTACATTCCTCATCATAAATTATGCGTTCTACTTAAAATGGAGGGATTCTCATAACTGGGAGGTAACAATCAGGATGAAGTTAAAAAAGAAGTAATGCTATCAACAACAAAAAAATATATTTAGAAATATATAAATAAATAAATATAATTGGAGAAGTGAAAGGATTTTTATGAATTTGTCTTTGAAATTATTTGTCTATGAGTAACTCATTTCATTTGCAATTTGCTTTGATTTCCACACCCCCCCCCCAAAGTCTGTGCATAATTGGGAATTCTTGAGAAGTGAGGAAATCAAGTCCACAGATTACTTTCAAATGAGTGAAATGTTGTATGAATGCTAAAGTTAACAACTTATGAAGTTGGAATATTACCTTTGTATGCATTTAAATAAAAAATTATTTTAAAAAAGTCAAAATGTTCTCGCATCACATTATTTTGAGTACATCTCTCTCTTCATCAATTGCAGCAGATGAAATAGGTATGTATACTAATTGTTACTCAGTCTCTACTTACCAGTTCACTGAGGGTAAAAGAGTTCATGTGAAAGCATTTGAGATCTCCAAAACTAGAGTACTTTTACTAGAGTACTTTGTGATTGTAAGTTACCTTGTGAAAATTTCCCATGTGCTCTAACCAATAAAGTTCTCTTAGTCAAAGAGTGTAAGAATTTACCCATTTCATACATGAGCCTGTTAAGCACTGTGGATGTCTGAGAAGGAATTAATACATTCCTCTCTCCCTGGTCCCACCCCCAATTATCTCTCCTCTGGGTTAAATAAAAGTTCTTGAATTTTGAAGCACAACAGGAACTTGATTAGGAACATGGCAAAGATTAACTTTTGGGAAAACACAAGTGCATTTTACTAGATTTTATGATTGAGTTAATGAAACTTTTTAGAGTTCTTCTGAAATTTTCTAATGAACAATAATTATTGAAAATGATTTAGTCTGGCCGGCATGGCTCAGTGGTTGAGTGTCAACCTATGAACCAGGAGGTCAAGGTTCGATTCGAGGTCAGGGCACATGCCTGGGTTGCGGGCTCCATCCCCAGTGTGGGGCGTGCAGGAGGCAACCAATCAATGATTCTTATCATTGATGTTTCTGTCTCTCCCTCTCTGAAATCAATAAAAGTATATTTTTAAAAAGTGACTTATAATGTACCATCTCTGACAACCTTGCCAATAGTATTCTCTGAGCTCTCCTCATTGACGATGCTTAATACCTAGCCAGGTTCTCACCCTTCTACACTCTGAACACCGTTTGTATCATAAATTCACCATTTACTAGTATAGAAACTAAGCTTAACATTACCTAGACTACTCATCTCACCAAATCAAATAAGATAATACTATGAAAGGTTGTGGGAACTCTGCAGGACCATTCAAATTTAGTATTGCAGCAACGACATTTCCATAGCTGGAGAAAGGGTAACAACCATTCTAAAATATAGGAATAAGAAATCTATATAATTAAGCAATAAAATGAAATAAGATTCATCTTCAAATTCTGATATTTTAAAATCTTTATTAAAAGGTATTTCTGCTTATTATAAACTATTCAAATATTAAAGAAATCTATAGTATTGAAAAGTCCCACATCATCAAAGCTAATGAGGCCAGGCACTTGAATGGTGTTAATAATATCTCTCCCACCCTTATTTTTCCTCCCCTCTTTTCTAAATGTCACTTTCTCCCTTAGTACAGCCAGCAGTTCTACTCACTTTTTAAGTACTCTGCAGTCATAAAGGAAACTTCAAATTTTAAAAGTCTCAGTTGAACTAGGCCCGTGGTTGGCAAACTGTGGCTTGTGAGCCACATGCAGCTCTTTGGCCCTTTGAGTGTGGCTCTTCCTAAGCCTTAGGAGTACCCTAATTAAGTTAATAACAATGTACCTACCTATATAGTTTAAGTTTAAAAAATTTGGCTCTCAAAAGAAATTTCAATCGTTGTACTGTTGATATTTGGCTCTGTTGACTAATGAGTTTGCCGACCACTGGACTAGGCTCATGTGTCCATGCCTCAGCCAATCACAACAACCAAGGAATTGATAACTTCCATTCAGAATTAATGTCTAAAATGGTGGGAGGAAAGATGTCATATAGGTGACCACCAGGGAAATTTCTGTGAGCTAGGGCACCACTCCAAATGTTATTTACTGTGCTACTGTGTTGTGTACTTGTCAGCACCTTATATGCTTTAACTCTTAAGTTTTTCAATAATCTCAACAAGTTCTTTGTGTTAGGAAACTCTGGCTCAAAGAAGTTGTGTGCCTGTAGTTACCCAACTAATCACTGGCAGGGTGTCTGGATGCATGAGGGCCTTAAAAGCCAGAAGAGTAGCTTACGTGGTAAGAAACAGACAACTATTGATGACTTCTGAGTGAAATAATCCCTACATTATAAAAATTATTTTTATGGAGAGCCTGAAATACATGGAAATGCATACACTAAACTGCCAAAGCAGCAAAGATAAGTTCAGAAACCTAGAGAATAGAATTAGAAGACCTGATATACATCTAAAAGAGTTTCTGGAGGAGAGAAAATAGAGTATGAAGCAAAAACAACATCCATAGAGATGATGTGTGAGAATTTTTCAGACTTGGAAAAGAACGTGAGTTATCTGGTCAAAGGAAGATGCTAAGGCTCAAACAGACTAAATAGTTTTAATTGAAACCTGTACATCTTAGTGACATTACAAAATACCAAACACAGTAAGAAAATTTTAAAAGTTACTACTGAGAAAAGCAAATTACCCTAAAAGACATGACAGTCATCCTGTCAGCAGATTTATCAGCAACAATAGGTTACAGAAGACAATGGAAAATATATCCAAAGTATTAATAGTCCATAACTGAGAAACTAAAATTCTATACCTAGCTAAACCATCTTTCAAGAGAAAGAACAAAATAAACACATTTACAAACTTTAGAACTTACAGGTGCTCATTAAAAGAAATACTAAAGAACATACTCCAAAAAGAAAAAAAAAAGCTGAACCCTAAAGGAATAAGTGAGATTGCAGAAGGATAAGTAAATAATACATAAGTAAATATCTTGGTTAATATAAGTCAGTGGTATTTTTTAAAATATATTTTTATTTATTTCAGAGAGGAAAGGAGAGAGAGAGAAAGATAGAAACATCAATGATAAGAGAGAATCATTGATTGGCTGCCTCCTGCACACCCTCCACTGAGGATTGAGCCCACAAACTGGGCATGTGCCCTGATCAGGAATTAAAACACAACCTCCTGGTTCATAGGTCGATACTCAACCACTGAGCCATGCTGGCCAGGCAAATCAGTAGTATTTCTTTTTTTAAAAATATATTTTATTGATTGTTTACAGAGAGGGAGGGAGAGGGATAGAGAGTTAGAAACATCGATGGGAGAGAAACATCGATCAGCCGCCTCCTGCACACCTCCTACTAGGGATGTGTCGGCAACCAAGGTACATGCCCCCAACCGGAATCGAACCCGGGACCCCTCAGTCCACAGGCCAACGCTCTATCCACCGAGCCAAACCAGTTAGGGCCAGTAGTATTTCTTAATGTGCCAGTATTCTGGAATTTTAAAACCAAGTGAAATTAAAATATTAGCCATTAAAAATACAGTAGATGATGGCAGAAGGGAGTTTTGAGTTAGTGAAGAGACTCCTTTTTTTTTTTAAATATATTTTATTGATATTTTACAGAGAGGAAGGGAGAGAGACAGAGAGTTAGAAACATCGACGAGAGAGAAACATCGATCAGCTGCCTCCTGCACATCTCCCACTGGGGATGTGCCCGCAACCCAGGCACATGCCCTTGACCGGAATCGAACCTGGGACCCCTCAGTCCGCAGGCCGACGCTCTATCCACTGAGCCAAACCGGTCTCGGCTGAAGAGACTCCTTTTATTAAGTGAGATATTCCTTAACTTTAGATTCTGACAAGTTATTTTATTGGTTAAGGTTTGTTGTTGCAAAGAATAGAATTGAAGCAAGAATTTCTTAAATTGATATTCAACAACTCCCAGAGTTATTGGGAGAGTTTTAAAAATCCCCAGCTTGGGTTAAGCATCTAGAAAAAAGTGCCCTAAGCCATGCAACAGAACATAAACTGCTGCTGCTCCCATCAAGTATCAAATGCCAGGAGCTCAACTTTTCTTCATCTACTCCTATTGTCAACATCAATTCCAACTCTGTCAGAAACTTGACCTTGCAACCGCTGCGACCTCCACAAACTGGATCTACCTGCACCAGGAAAATGGAAGCTGACTGCATAGTTTGTATCCTCACATTTCCACAGTGCTTCTTAATTAGCAGAGCCTATGTCATAGGCCTGCCTCCCAGCTGCAACGGAGGCAGGAAATTAGAGTTCTGAATTCAATTTTATGCTGGGGAGGTGGAATCTGTAACCAGGGAATTATCCCAACTTTAGAAGGCTCTTTAAAAGATTACTACATTAAAAAGATGAAATATTACCATTTGTGACAACGTGGATGGATCTTGAGAGTATTATGTTAAGTGAAATAAGTCAGACAGAAAAGGACCCAAAACATTGGATTTTACTTATGTGGAATATAAAACAAAAAATAACATGAACAAAAAAAAACCAAACTCATAGATACAGACAACAGAATGGTAGTTACCAGAAGGGGAGGGGAGAGGGTGAAGTGGGTCAAATATATGGTAAGGGAAAGAAACCAGACTTTGGGTGGTGAGCATGAAATAGAGTACATTGATGTCAAATTATAATGTACACCTGAAATTTATATAATGTTATTAACCAATATCACCTAATAAATTTAATAATTAAAAAAAGATCTTGAATATGACAGAGTTCATTACGGATATGCATGTTAAACTTTGAAGGATATTCACCAAAATAAGAGAAATAGAGTATGTAGCTTCCACAACTACAGAAGGGATGTGGGGGGAAGTGACCTAGAGAAAACTTAGTTACTGGATCAGCAGGCAGTAAAGAAGGAATAAAAAAGCAAATTAAAAGTAGGATAAATAGGAAACTCAAATAAGATTGTAGGAAGAAGTCCAAGCATACTATTTACTGCTAGTGGCCCGGTGCACGGATTCGTGCACATTGAAAGGAAATTAATTAGAAGGTGGCCGACGGGGCGGGACTGGGAGAGAGGGCTGGACACGCCCTGGAGCCAACCTCCTGCGGCCCTTCCCAGGCCTGCCGCACCTAGGGCAGCACCACTGCTGGAAGGACATCTGCGGTCACTGCAGCTCGGCAGTAAACCAGATTTGGGCCAACAGTGCCCCAGCAACAGCATAACCCACGGCTGAAGGTGGAATTGCACGGACCTGCAGGAATCGGGCTCCCTCCTCTCTGGGTTCATCACCTGAGAACTGCCACTGCCAAATCACCGCAGCTTGGCAGCTCCTGCATTGAGCATCTGCCCCCTGGTGGTCAGTGCCC